GCCTGGTGTACCTGGTGTGGTGATGCCTTGGTAAGCAGAGGCAGGAATGCTCCATGTTTGCGGGTAGCCTAGATTACCTATTAAGTCCTGTCTCACTAAACATAAATCAATAAGTGGTGTGGCTTCTCTGGATGAAGTTACTACTTGGACTAGGAGAAATGAGGGCAGTGAGAAGTATGGCAGAACACCTAAATAACAGAACTTTCTTTTTTTAATAGAATGTGAGCCTTTAATCCCAGCCTTAGGAGGCAGAGGTGGGTGATCTCTGTGAATTCGAGGCCAGCACAGTCTATAGAGTAAGTTCCAGGACAGCCAGGGCTCTGTGGTCTCAATGTGCGACCAAAGTGTAAGAGACCCTGTGATCAGCTGTCCTCTGAGGTGCTGATGTTCTAAATGCAATGAAAACATAAAGAAGACGGTATTGCTAAGAAATCTCTGCAAACAGCAAGCTCTCTGTAGCCGTGAGGAGGCCGGTTACCGTTCTTAGCTCCACCATCTTCTTAGTCTTCCTCAAGGTCACATAGGAAGCTATGGTCGAGGACTCGGGCGTGGGAGACTTCGTTCTCAGAGGAACTCCAACTGGGAAGTGGGAACCTGAAAGTTAAAGCAGTGTAAGTTCTACACAACACTTGTGGCGCAGCATGGCGCCCTTCTGACTGGAGGCCTTTGCTGATTATGGATTTCTAGTCAGCTGGGATTGAACCAATCTGTAAACAGTGCTCTGTCTACTAGATCACACCAGCTCTGGGCTCACAGACAGACAGATCTGCTGGGGCTGGAGAGAGGGCTTCTGCTGTTGCAGAGAACTGGCATGTAGTTCTCAGCACCAATGTCAGGCAGCTCATAACCACCTGCAACCCCAGCTCCAGTGAATCCCACTCCCTCTTCTGACCTCTGAGAGCACCCACACACAGGAGGCACAAATTCCTACGAACACGTAATAATTTTACCTGTGTGTGTGCATGCGCACACAGGCCCACAAGCAGGTAAAGTTTCATGGAGGTCAGCAGTGTCATATCCCTTGCAACTGGAGTTATTGATAATCATGAGCTGCTTGGCATGGGTGTTGGGAACCAAACTCAGGTCCTCTGAAAGTGCAGCAACTTGAATGTGTGTGCCCTGGCCATGGTCACACACATGTAGCCCAAAATAAACTATTCTTAATGTTGGAACAAGAGCTGTCCTGCCAACAGGGATGTAAGTGGGGTTATGTCAAGAATGCCAGTGGAATCATTTAGTATTAAGATACATCAGTGGTTAAGAACTCATACTGCAAGCTGAGTGATGGTGGTGCATGCCTTTAGTCCGAGCACTTGGGAGGCAGAGGCAGGCGGATCCCTGTAAGTTTGAGGCCAGGCAACCACTTGTAACTGCAGCCCTATGGGAATATGACTCCTCTGGGCTCTGTGGGTGCCTGTCCTCACACACAGGGTCAGCTCAGTGTAAAGTGTCAGTGATGTTTGATACCCAGAACTGCCAAAGCCAAACAAAAACAAAATAAGACGAAGTGCAATTCTGTTTGTTACTTTCGCTTTTTTCAAGACAGGATTTCTCTGTATAGCCTTGGCTATACTGAACTTGCTTTGTAGGCTAGGCTAGCCTGGAACTCACAGTGATCTGCCTCTCTCTGCCTCCCTGAGTGCTGGTATTAAAGGCATACACCACCACACCTGGCAAGTGTAATTCATTTTAAGATTTAAAAAGAAACACGAAGCCCAGCTTGGCATGGGCCCTGGTGCACAGTGAGTCGGAGCTCATTCCAGGGAGTAAAGGTAAAACCATCCCGAAGGGGCAGGGAGCAAGAGAAGACAAGAATAAGATGGCAGCAGGACAGTGAGGGTTTTCAAGACAAATTCTATAGTGTACCTGTCACTGTCAGTGTGAAAACAAGCTCTGTGTCTCAGGAAAAAGCATAGGGCTTTAAGTCCACACACAGAGGGTGCAGAGGCATAAGCCATGCCGCCTGCCCATGCCCTAGCACCTTCCCTAGGCTGCTGAACTTCTGGCATGTAACAGCCAGGAGGCAGGCCCGGCCTTCCTATGTCCACGAACAGACATCCATCCAGCATCTCACTAACCGCAAACAGCTGTAAGGAATGTCCTCTGTTCTATGGGGTGTTGTGATTGCTGTGTCCACCTCATAGTGGCGGTGTCATTAAAGGTCCTGGTTACTGGAAACATCTCTCAGCACCTATCTAGACTGAACTAGAGCTCCATCCAGCTGCTCTTTCCTTATCTGAGAGACATTCATCTGGCAGCAGGAGCACTGTAAAGATCTGGGGAATACATGAAAAGGCCTGGCTTTCCCTGTGGCACAAGAGTGCCTGCAGTAGAAAAGAAGAGGAGGTGCCACTCCCGGGCAGCTCCCTTTGTGCTCCAGTCTACCTGGGCTAGACGGAAGCTATCTGATAAAAAGGAAGGGTAGGAGGGCAGATATTCGGTGGATCAGTGGATAAAAGCGCATGCCACGAAAGCCTGATGACCTGGTTCAATCCTTCTAACAACTGAAGGAATGAACTGATTCCCCAAAGTTGTTCTCTGACCTCCACAAGAGTGACATGGCATTCACACACCCACAGTCCTCCACCTGACAACAAAATATGAAATTTAAAACACCTAAAGAAACCATGCTAGATGCCATAGCATATATTGCAATGCCAGTACTTTTATGGTGAGACTTAGATGCTGAGGCCGGAGAATCCCCAAAAGCTCATGGACCAACTAGCCTAGCATAAACAACAAAAAACAAACAAAGAAACAAACAAATAACTGAAAGACTCTGTCTCTAAAGTGAGGATCAACACCCGAAGATGTTCTCTGACTTCCATGTATGTGCCTTGGCATGCATGTCCGCATACACACACACACACACACACACACACACACAAACTGAAATGAAATAAAAAATGGGTAGTTATAATGCAATTTGATACTGCTAATTTTCTTCATGCAAAATGCCACCAGACTTTTAGAAAATGAGACAAGAGGTTGATAATGTAACTGGAGTAGAGTAGTACCTGCCTAGCAAGCTTGAGGTCCTGGACTCTAGGCTCAGCACTAGGGTGAGGAGGGGTAAAGAGAAAGAAGGGGCACTAATGTAATGTGTCTAGGTGCAGATAAGCCTCCCTCCTAAGCAGCAGCTAGTGAAAGTAAACACTGGGAATGCAGGGCCACAACCACTGCCCCAAGAATGAAGACCTAGGCACATTTCTATCCCTGGGCAGAGATACTGCCTAGAAGGTCTCCAGCAGAAGCATCTAAATCCTGTCAGATTAGTATGGAGTGGGGAGGATTTCTGATAAAAACTAACCCCCCAGCCCCTGGAAAACAATCCTAATGAACCTCTCAATCAGCAGGACAGGAAAAGTCCTTCAGGAAAGCTGCTGGCTGTGGAGCCTTGAGAACAGGGTAAAGCTCCTTGAACTGCAGATCTGCGCAAGGCTCCCTTAGCTGTGTCTGCTCTCTCCCTCTTGAGAGTACCCTACTCTACTCTGCAACTAACTCTACTAATCCGCACTCCACTCTGCCCATAATATCCTCTTGAATATCACAGGGATGGGGAGCTGCTGAGAACTTGTGACATTCCCACTGAGGCCAGCAACAAAGCTACAATGCTCATTAAACCTCTCTCAATTTCTTTTCTTTTTTAAAATAATTTATTCACTTTATATCCCGACTGTAGGCCCCTCCCTCATCTCCTTCCAGCCTCATCTTCTCTCCTTCTACTCCCTCCCTCCTCCCCTACCAACTGACCCCAGCCTATAAAGTCTCATCAGGACTGCCTGCACCCTTTCCCTCTGTGGCCTGGCAAGCCTGCCCCACTAGAGGAAAGTGATCAAAGAGCAGGCAACAGAGTCCATGCCAGAGACAGCCCCTGCTCCCCTTACTAGGGCACCCACATGGAGACTGTCTTTGGGCTTCATCTGAGCAGTGGGTCTAGGTCCCTTCTATGCATGGTCCTTGGTTGGTGCATCAGTCTTATCAGCGGACCCTGGGCCCAGATTCGTTGGCGTTGTTCGGCTCCCTGTCCCTCCAGGTCTTTCTATACCCCCACTCTTCCATAAGACTCCCTGCACTCTTCCCAAAGTTTGGCTGAGTCTCAGCTTCTGCTTCTATACCCTGCTGGGTGGAGTCTTTCAGAGGATATCTATGGTAGGCTCCCATCTTGCTCCCCCTCGTCAACTGCTTCTCGTATCTATTCTATTTGCCCTTCTGAATGAGAATTAAGCATCCTCCCTAGGGTCCTCCTTGTTATTTAGCTTGTTTAGGTCTGTGGATTGTAGTATGGTTAACCTGTATGATATGGCTAATAACTGCTTATAAGTGAGTACATGCCATTCTTGTCTTTCTGGGTCTGTGTTACTTCACTCAGGATGATCTTTTCTAGTTCCATCCTTTTGCCTGCAAATTTCATTATTTCCTTGCTTTTAATAGCCGAGTAGTATTCTACTGTGTAAATGTACCACAATTTCTGTATCCATTCTTTGGGTGAAGAAGATCCAGGTATTTACAGATTCTGGCTATTACGAATAAAGCTGCTATGAACACAGCTGAACAAATGCCCTTTTTGTTTAGTGGAGCATCTTTTATTTAAGCACTACAAGCGATCAAACCCAGGGTCTTATGCAAGCTAGGCAAACACTATTAGTTAATCTAATTCAAGGTGAGTGTGGTACCATAGGCCATAGTAGGATATAAGAGGTGTTCTCCAAAACAAACAAGGGGAACTTGTGTTATCTGTGAAGGTCAAATTCCTGAAGAAATTCAGGGAGGGGATGATGTTAGAGATAGCCATCAACCAGCTGGGTGTTTTTGAAAGGTTTATTTTCATTTTTACTTGTGTGTGTATGTGCTCGTGCATGTGAGTGTGCACTTGCCAATGCTCTTCCTGGCCAGATGAGGAACTGTCTCGGAGCTGGAATTGCAGGTAGTTGTGAGCTGCTTGAAGTGGGTTCTGGGTCCTCTGGAGGACAGTAAGCACTCTGAGCCAGTCAGCCATTACACTACCCTTTATGGTGACTCTTACGCCTAACTTTTCTAGTTCTTTTTATTTTATTTTAATTTCTATAAAAACTTTTTTTTTTTTTTTTTTTTTTTTTTTTAAAGTTGGAGGATGAGGGCACACATCTTTAATCTCTGCACTTGGGAGTCAGAGGCAGGTGGATCTGAGTTTGAGGTCAGCCTGGACTTATAGAGGGAGTTCAAGGACAGCAAATGCTATACAGAGAACCCTGCCTTGGAAAAATCAAACCAAATCAACCCCTGAAAGGGTTAGACTAACTTTGTAACTTTGTATGTCTTCTAAAGCCTATAGTTTTGAGTTTTAGGTTCAGGTTAAGCTAAAGCCTCTTAGTACCTTTCCAGAGAATGGAGAAATGTGACTCTATCTGTGAGGACAGATATAAAAAAAAAAAAAAGCAAGCAAGCAATGACCTTCACTCAGCAAAAAGAATGACCAGACCCTTGTCTTAAAGATAGTGTTTCTTAGCAACGAACCTAGATGGCCTCAATCCTCCTTCTGAGTAGCTCCTGACCTCCAGCCAAAGGATGAGCTAACCACCCCCACCTTCAACTGCAGCTGCATCCACACTTGGCAGGACTGGCCAAGCTTGAGCACCTAAGACTAACCAATTATCTTACTTTATAGCTTCCTCATCCAATCCTAAATTGCCAAGACTGCAACTTCAAATCTCCCGCAATTTTTCTTTTAAAAACCTAAAGGCCTTTGTCTCCGGGTGCCACTCTTTGCTGACCGGCAGGGGTGACCCCATTGCGCAATGGTTAATAAACTTCTTACTTTTGCAACGAGTCTTGGTCTGGGGGAGTTTCTGGGAAGGGCGCGATCTTAAACTCCTGAGCTGTGAGACCCCAGGTCTTATACCCCCATATTTTAAATTTTTATTTATTTTATTATTTTACTTTAATTTTATTTTATTGTGTATGTATGTCTGTATGTATGCATGTCATGTGTGTGCCTGGTGCTCTCAGAGGTTAGAAGAGAGTTTGAATACCCTGGAGCTGGAATTACAGATGGCTGCTGTGAAGGTGTTGAGAAATGAACCCAGGTCCTCAGCAAATGCTCTTACCCACCCAGCTCAACCCCTAGCCCTTTATTGTTTTGAGACAGTGTTGCTATGTAGGCCTTGTTGGTCACAACTCATAGCAATCCTCATGTAGTTTGTATCAACATGTCTGGTTCAAAGCCTTCCTTCCCTTTCCTTCCTTCCTTCCTTCCTTCCTTCCTTCCTTCCTTCCTTCCTTCCTTCCCTCCCCTCCCCTCCCCTCCTCTCCTCTCCTCTCCTCTCTGCCTCATCTTCTTCCCACCTGTCTCTGTGAGACAAATCTCACCATAGAGCTCCATCTATCCTGCAGTTCACTTGAACTCAAAGAGATTCACCTGCTTCTGCCTCCTGAAAGCTAGGATTAAAGGTGTGTATCACTACATCTGGCTCAAAATGGTTTTTAATTGAGACCCCAAAGATTTCAGATATGAGGTTATAGATTTATATATGTTCTGGGAGAAAATGTAAACTAAAATATCTGAAAACAAAGATATAAAAGAGGTAGAAGACTGTAAATGCTGACCTTTAACAGCTGGAGCCTCCGTCTCAGAAACTGGCTCTGACTTTTCTTCTCCATTAGATTCATCAACTTCTGCCACTGTGGTTAACTCTGGCTCACTCTTGTAGAGTCTATAATCTGGACCCTTGAATGGAAGATACATGATTGCAACAACACAAAGCTACATGTTCACCACTGCACCGGACTAGGCAGGAGGCTCAGTGCTAGAAGCATTGTCTACATGCAAGATCCTGGGCTCAGTACACGGCATCGATAACTGAGTAGAAAGAGTAATTCCAAGATTTTTAATTAGTAAAACGTAACAATATTCCTAGGGACAAAGTCTCTTCTGTGTGTAGGTTTTGAACCAAGGGTGTTGTAGGCACTCTAAAGATTTATTTATTTTACGTATATTAATGTTTTGCCTGCATGTTTATAAGTGCACCCCAAAGGTGTACCTGGTGTTGGACTTCCTGGAACTGCCATTCCAGATGGTTGTACATTGCTAAAAACAGTGAACCAAACCTGGGTCCTCTGGAAGAGCAGCAAGGGCTCTTAACCACTGAACCATCTCTCTAGCTCCTCACATGTACTTTATTACCCTAAGCCATCCTTTTGGAGGCAAGTTTCATATAGCCTAGGCTTGCCTTAACCTCTTGATCCTCTTAACCTTCCAGCCACATTCTCTTTCATCCCCACCCCGTCTTTAGGTTGGTCAGACTTATGATTCTCCTGCATCTGCCTCCCTGAGTGCTGGGATGACAGATGGGTGCCATCATACCTGACCCAAAGTCAGTCTTATCATGGTCAAACCAAGGTCTAAAAGTAATCATAAAATCCAATAAATTTTCATCTAGATGTAAGTCTGAATAAGTAAGGTTCATCTCAAAATAATTTCCTGTGAGACAATACTTTATTATTCTCAAAATTATCTCTGTTCCATTTTTTTTTTCTTTCTTGTTTTTCTCTTGGAGACAGTCTTGCTTTATAGTTCAGGCTGGCCTTGACTTCACAATCCACCTGTCTAACCTTAGGCCCCTTACTCTCCTTCTCGCTTATGAATCCACTTCATTTCTCACTGAAGCCCTCATTTCCAGTCCCAGGCAACACTGTTCCTTGGCAGTGCCTACGTCCTTGCATGGTTTTCCTAAACTGCCCATCTCCCACCCCATTTTGCTATTTTCCTGTTTTCTGATCAAAATATGCTATTTGCTTCTAACACTCTAAAGTGGCAAGTTTAAAATATGGCTTGATCAAATGTGCAAAGTAACTACTTTATGATAAATGAAATATTAAAATTATGAGAATATTAAAAAATGAGAATGATAAAAATGTAAATTGGAAAAACAAAGGGTAATGTTATATGCAAACAAAAAAAGCGCTAAAAAATGGAGTTATAGCAAAAATAAGCTAGAGTATGAAATAAATGAATTTTCAACAATGAGAGGGCATATACGATCATTCTGTGGCTGTTCCAGCCACTTACACAGTGAGATCCATTTCTTGGATATCCTTGAACTTGAAGAATCTTCTTTTCTTCAGGCAGATGCACGGGGCCCCTGCTATAACAGAGCAAGGAGCTGCTATCACTGGGCAGAGGGGGGATTATGGGAGGCTGCTCTGTAAAGTCATAAGACCGAGGAAGTGGAGGCCGAGGTGGGACTACTTCCTCTTCCTAAAGATTGTAGAATAGTCACCTTATTTAGATAAGCAGATTGGGTTAAGCATTTCTAAACTGTTTTCATTGCTATATTAACTTAAAGTTACTTTACTATGATTAAAGGGACACTGCCAAGCCAAAAGTCTCACATTGAAAAACCAAAACAAATTTGCATGATAATCAATAATGGGGTTTCAAATGCCATATCTGCTTTCTCCTACATGTATGGGGTAGCTCTATCTACCCAGACAGATTACTATGTGAAATTACTGTACTTCATTAAAAATCAGAAGAAAAAAAAGCTGGCTAAAAAAAAAATATTTTGGCCTATAAACAAAACTGAAGGCCACAGATTTTTTTTTTTTTTTTTTAGCTAGGTTGACAGTATCTCTTTGTTGTTATAATTTCTCTATGGCATGCATGATCAAGCCAACTTTATCTAGCAACCATCCTATAAATTTTATCAAATATAAGAAGCCATGATAAACACTCAAATTACTCAGAAAAAGTACAACAATGTTAAAGTTCTAACAGATGAAACTAGTCACTGATTTGTTTTTTGTATTTAAGGAAGAAAAATAGTATTAGAAAGTTACTAAGTCACCAAATTCCTAAGTCAGTAACATTTCAAGATTTAAATAAATGATCTAAATATATTTAAAAGACAGTTTTCTTTTTCTTTCCTTTCTTTCTTTTTTAACTGAGATAAGAGTCTTGCTAGGTAGCCCAGGCTACACACAAATTTGCTATCCTCCTGCTTCAATCTTCCAAGTAACTGGAGTTACAGGTATGCAGCACCACTCCAGGCAAACTAAAAAATATCTTTCAGGAACAAAGAAGACTTAACTACTTTTAATTTTATTTGTTAACACTTAAAGTCAGCTAGACAAACAAATCAAACTTACCTCACTTTTGTACTTAACTGCTGAGAAAGGCTTTGATCCTGCCAGACCTACTGGGAAAAGAGAACACATAATTACATGTGTTAAAAATAACTTCCTTTCTTCTTCTTCTTCTTTTTTTTTTTTTAATTTTTTTTTTTTTTTTTTTTGAGATAAGAGTTTTTTTGTGTAAAGAAAAAAACTGGCTGTCCTGGACTTGCTTTGTAGACCAGGCTGGCCTCAAACTCAGAGACCCACCTTGCTTCTGCCTCCCAAGTGCAGGAATTAAAGATGTTGACTGCCATCTGGCTCTAAATATTAAACTTAAAAAACAGTGTGTGGGGCTGGCGGGATGGCTCATTGGTTAGGGGTACTGGCTAGATCTTTTGCACTTCCTGGAGGCTCACAACTGCTCAGAACTCCAGTTTCAGGGGATCTGGTGCCCTCTTCTGGTCTTCATAGATGGCACACATTACACAGACAACACGAAGGCAAACGACTGTACACATAAAATAAAATTAAAAAAAAAACTTAAAAATAAAAAAGAAAGGATCCATGGAAATAGGTTTCCTTAAGTATTATTGGTATAAACAGTAATCTTCTATGAGAGCAATCTGGCCATACCCTTTAAAATGGAGTATGCACTAATTTTGCACACTCGGGTGTGCCAGTGGGTACTAGCAAATATGTTCTTTTATATGTCTAATGATGCCTGTTACAGAGCGACTTACAGACAGAAACAAAACAGAACTCCAGAAACGGGACAGGTTCACAATATGGAAAAGGATAAAGCATAGTTAATCTATAGAACAGTCACAAGTAGCTATTATTACGTTTGGGAGGGAAGAGCTAACAAGATCAGTCAAGACGCTAACAGCAGCAGAATCTGGACTCACTGGTTAGAAACAATCAGGCTATTTATTTATTTAAAAATATGTTTATTTATTATGTATACAGTATTGTACACCTGCACACCAGAAGAGGACACCAGATCTCATTATAGATGTTTGTGAGCCACCATGTAGTTGCTGGGAATTGAACTCAGGACCTCTGGAAGAACAGCCAGTGCTCTTAACCTCTTAGCCATTTCTCCAACCGCAGGCTATTTATTTTTAAACCTTGAAGGCATAGTAATTTATTTATTTAGGTTTTTAAAAAATTATTTACACTTATTTATGTGCACTGGGGTTTTGCCTGCATGTATGTCTGTGTGAGGGTATCATATCTTGCAGTTACAGACAGTTGTGAGTTACCATATGGATGCTAAGATTTGAACTCAGGTCCTCTGGAAGAGCAGTCAGTGCACTTAATCACTGAGCCATCTCTCCAGCCCTCACCTATATTTTTTCCCCCCTACTGAGAAGATTCAGAAGTGAAGAGTTGCTAAAGCTAATCATAGACACAGAACAAGGGTTTTGTGTGGCTGTGGCTATTGAAATTACTGCATTTATTAACTTATGCACCCATTCAATGGCACAGAGTGGCTGTTTTCCAATGAAAAGCCATTAAAATGACAAATTTAATTATATCTTTTCATTCAGACAGAGCCATGTAAAGCTGACCCACCTGTTTCTGAAGAGCCTCTTTGTTGTTTGTGTTTGCTCAACCCCTCCATGACATCTTGAATTCTCCACAGTTCTTTCTGAATTTGTGCCCGCTGAATTCCTGCCGATTCGCTCTATCAGTAAAGACGGACAGGTCACTATGGGCCTGAGTGGGAATGTCTTCCACGGACTCATGTATTGGAACACTTGGTTTCAGTTGCTACAGCTTTGATGGAGGGAGCACACGCTGGGTGAGAGCTTGGATAAGCTATAGCTGGGCTCTGTGCTCACCCTATGGGCCCTATCCCTTGGAATGGTGAGCCAGAATATGCCCTTTCCCCTCCAAGCTGTTTTTTGTCAGGGTTTTCTACTACACCCACAGGAAAATAACTAATTCAACAAGTTACAAAAGAAACGAAAATAAAAACAAACAAAAAAACCCCCAAAACCTCAGTTATATGTTCCACTAATTACACAATGAAAAATTAGAGCCACAGAGGATTAAGTCCCTAGGATATTTACAATAACGCATGTGAGCCCATGATGTTGCAAAGATAAAAGGGAAAGCATGAAGAGAAAAAAACAAACAAAACAAAACACTGAATTTCTATGATATAAGTGTACTATTGTACATGCTTTCAGTATGCTTTGCCATTATTTGTGATTCTAGAAGGCACACTCTTAGAAGGGACTATAAATGGAAAACAAAGAGAAAAAAGAACAAAACCCTTACTGTGGCTAGGTAAAAACAAGCCCCTGAGGTGAGAAGGGGGCCACAGAGGGTTCTGGCTCTGTCACCTACAGGTCCGGCTTCCAGGGTTTCACATACACAGCCAACAGTGGGCAGTGTGTTTTTTGTTTAAGATTTATTTGGTATTCTGCCTGCATGCCCGAAGAGGGCACCAGATCTTATTATAGATGGTTATGTGCCAAGATGTAGTTGCTGGGAATTGAACTCAGGACCTCTGGAAGAACAGCCAAAGGTCTTAACTTCTGGGCCATCTCTCCAGGCTCAGAAGGCAATGTGCTTATTTGCCCAGTATACACGGAAGGCCCTCAGCACACACCAGCTCCAGATTTAAGGACGAGTAACTACTGTGTACTCGCCAGCAGTTCCGGTTGCTAGTTTGTTGCCTTGGCAGCTGTGGATGCGGCAGCTTGGGAGGAGAGTTCATACTCAGTATTTCTCAATGCCCAGGATCACCTCATTCCAGGCTTATTCTACAGGGCATGATGTTACTTGTGGTTTCATGATTCACCGAAAGCCATGGGACACATCCTGAGGATAAAGACTCCTGCACTACTTTCTAAATTCTAGAACATTAAAAACAAACAAGCAAACAAAACACTTGGCTGGCAGAAGTAAATAAATGTGTTTACAGTACAAACATTTAATCACAACTACTTTTACTCTATTCTGGTACATTCTTATTTTTAATATTCTATATCATGCCTTTTAGGTTAAAGTCATAGTTATAAGACTCTATTACAACCATATGATCCTTGGCAGGGAATGACCCCACATTGAAGTGGGGTTACAGATAGCTCACAACCACCTCTAAGTCCAGGGGATCCACTACCCTCCCCTGGACTCCAAGAGTACCCACGTATTTGGCACATACAGTCTGAATTTCTGTTCTATTGCTGCATGATCAAGGCAAAATCTTACAAAAAGAAAACATCTGATTGGGGGCTTGCTTACAGATTCAATGGTTGGTCCCTGATCATCATGGCTGGAAGCAGACAGGCATAGTGCTGAAGGAGTAGGTGAGAGCCTATGTCCCGATCCCCAGGCAGACACACACACTGAGCCTGCTGTGGGCTTTTGAAACCTCAAAGCCTACCCATGGTAACACACCTCTTCCAGCAAGGCCACACCTCCTTGCAGAAACAACAATAACTCAGATTGTGTGTGCCACAGATGTGGGCACTTTGGAGGCCGGAGGAGGGCAGTGGATTCCTTGGACTCAGTTTTGCAGGTGGTTGTGAACTACCTGTAACCACACTTCAGTGTGGGGTCTCTAACCATCCGAATCTGTAAGCAAATGCTCTTAAGTGCTAAGCTATTGTTCCAGCCCCAAGAAAAAATATTATTAAAAATATTATTTGATAAATAGGTCTGGTGGGGCACATTTATAATCTCAACATTTGCATGAGTTATAGTGAGGAAAAAAAATATAATGAACAATTCTGTATCAGTGGTCACAGAATGATATGTGAGAGTATTAATCAAACTTATAGGAAATGCTGAGAGCTGAGGTGAGTACTGAGAGCTCAGTGCTGAGAGTTGAGCTGAGTACTGAGTGCACAGTGCTGAGAACTGAGGTGAGAAGTGAGAGCACAGTGCTGAGAGCTGAACTGAGTACTGAGCGCACAGTACTAAGAGCTGAGCTGCGTACTGAGAGCTCAGTGCTAAAAGGTGAGCTGAGTACTGACAGTGCAGTGCTGAGTGAGCTGTGCTAAACAGCAAAAAGCACAAGTACTTCAGAGTTCACCAGGGTCCAGTAAGGTGCAAAGGTTTTATAGAGGGGCTGGGAACTTCATGGAGAGTGAGAATCCTGTCCCTAGACTCTTGAAGGTTTTTCTTCAGAGTCCAACAGCAGGAGCTGTAGAGGTAGGCTGCAAGCAGACTGTCTTTCCTACCTGCACTTCCCCCAGGCGATCAAGCTGCTCTTGCATCTGGTTCCTGGTAACAGTCACGTCATATTCTAACTTGTCATATTCTCTCCAGGCTCGTTCCAGCTCCTAAAAACCACAATGTTTGTTATTTTAAAGGGGACCCACGCTTCAATGACAGTCTGTGCATACTTAAAACCTCCCAAGATTTCAGAAAGTTGTATGCTTTATTTGGGGCAAAGTAAAAATATCTTTGGCGGTGCTGGAGAAGGAAACCAAGAACATGGTAAGCAAGTGTTTTGCTGAGTTACATCTGCAGCACCAAAACAGAAATTGTGGTAACTCACTCTCCTTTACCGTTTCCTCTTTTTCAAGACTCAGTTCATTCAGAGAAAGCACATGGTGTAATTTTAGTCTGCCTTATTTTATTTAACCTCCTCCAGTTCCATCTATTTCTGTGCAAATGTCATGAATAAAATTGATGGTGTGTATGTATGTTTATTGGATTATGCACGTCTAGGTTGGTTCTATTTCTTAGCTCTTGTGACTGTTGGCATCAAGCCTGCATGAGCATGTGTCCCTGTGGCGAGCGGAGTTAGTGTTCTGGGTAGACACCCAGGAGGGTGGTGGTATAGCTGGCTCATCTGCTAACTCATCCGCCTAATACGTGTGTGGTCAGTGCTTGTGTGCATGGCTGCACTTACAGGTCAGAACTCACAAGAGTCCCAGGGAGCTGTAGAAGCAGGCAGATGTGAAGCTCCCCATTTGGATGCTAGGAACTGAACCTAGAGCTCAAAGCTATCTCTTCAGTACCATTTTTAGTCTTTTTCAGCAACTTCCAGACTGACACCTATGCAGCAGTGTAATCCTAGGCCTCGATTCCCAAGGGTTTCTCACACCCTGCCCTGCATTTGCTGTCCTTTGTTTTCTTGCTACTTAGTCTTTTGCTAATTGTTTCTCCAAATCAAACAGAAAAAGTCTTGAAAAGTCTTACAATTCTTGCTGAATTGTAGGGTAAGGTGGCACACACTTTTAATCCTGACATTTGGGAGGTGGAGGCAGGAGGATAAGCTCATCCTCAGCTATAAAGTGAGTTGGAGGCCAGCCTAGGGTGAGATCCTGCTTGAAAAAAAAATAAAAAAACAAAAAAACAAGTTTCCCTTTAAGCAAGTTTTATAATCAATTATATTTATTCTTTAAAAAAGTGTTTATTATTATTAATGTTTAGGTGCCTGCACAAGTCAGAAAAGGGTGTTATATTTCCGTAGAGCCAGAGTTCCAGGCAGTTGTGAGCCACCTGATGTGGGTGCTGGGAACCAAACCGATGTCAGGAAGAGCAGTAAACGCTCTTAACCACTGAGCCATCTCTCTAGCCCTTTGACTTTTCCCTCTCTTTCTTCTTTCTTCCTTTCTTTCTCTCTCTCTCTCTTTCTTGCATGCTTGCTTGCTTGCTCTGAGACAGGGTCTCAGTATGTAACCCTAGCTGGACTTGACCTTGTAATGATCCTCTTGTATGTCACATACCACACTTAGTTGAAAAATATAAAAAAGCTGGGCACGGCACCATGTGACTGTAATCCCCGACACTTGGAAAGTTGAGTCAGAAGCAAGGAGCTCCTAGTAACCTCACTAGATCCTGTTTAATAAAAAATAAGGCTAGGAATGTGGAGTGTAGAGTGTTTGTCAAGTATATGAAGGGACTTGGGTCAATCCCCAGTAGAAAAAAAGGAAGCAAAACAGTAAAGTTTGTTTATGTGAATATTAGCCTCATTAGTGGCTTCAGCAGACTTTTATGTGAGTATAAATAAAGGAGAAATCTGTCTCCTTTAATAAAAATTTCTCTAGTAATCTTCTATTAAAAAACATACTCACATTTTATTTATATCCTTATTTATTTGTGTGTGCTTACGTACATGGAGGTCAGAGAACAATTTTCGAGAGTAATTTCTCTTCTTCCAACATGTAGGTTTGGGGGCTCAAACCCAGATCATCAGGAAGTAAGTACATTTGTAGGCTACGCCATCTTGCTAGCTTTTTTGTTTGTTTGAACTGTGTGTCTTGTGATTTGTACATATCATAGGAACAGAAAACATAAGTAGAGGACTTCTGAAGGCTTCTGGAAGGGAAATGAGGCTGGGAATCTCAAGGAACAGCAGAGTCCAGGCCAGGGTAGGGCAGTGCCTAATCTCCTTTGTGCAAAAATGTTTTCAAAGTCATAGGACATGATGACCTTTTATCCCAGCACTTGGGAGGCAGAGAGAGGTAGGCTCTGGGAGTTCTAGGCTAGCCAGGGCTACACAGTGATGCCTAAAAGGGGGAGGGGAAGGCCAGAGAGACAACTCAGTGGTTAAGTGTGCTTGCTGCACCTGCAGAAGACCTGAGCTCAGTTCCCAGCACCCATGTCAGGCAGCTCTCAACTGCTTGTAACTCCATCTTCAGGGACTCCAACTCCCTCTTGTGGCTTCTTCAGGCATGTACCCACCCACATAAATAAAACTAAATCTTAAAAAAAGAAAAGAATTCATAGCAGGGCAACTGTCTACAGACTCAGCAAAATGTTAAGAACATCTCATAGGAATCCCTATCTTTCCTAGAGAAATGAAAGGAACAAGCAGGTGACTGGTAGGGGATTGCCAGCCTTGAGACAAGAAAGCCCCACATCCTGCTGGGTCTGCTGTCCATCTTTACTGCAGCTTCTCATACACAATGTGAGTGGGAAGTGACGCACATCTAGAGAGCAGAAGAAAAGGGGCTGTACTGCTGCTAGCTTCTCCCCAGCCTCCTGTAGGTGGATGCAAGCTCACTGTTCTGCAGTCTCAGTTACCTGGGGGGCTGAGACAGGAACATCATTTGATTTCTCAGGGTCATAGCAGATCCCGTATTTAAAGCCTGGTAGCCCACACCTGGGAGGTAAAAGCAAAAAGTTCAAGTGTTCAAGGCCATCCTCAAATAGATAAGCAGTTAGAGGCCATCTCCAAACAAACAAATAGATAAGCAGTTAGAGACCTTCTCCAAACAAACAAAATAATGTAGCAAATTATATAAGTATAATGCTAAAAATAGTTAAGAATGGACTTTTTATAGGGTTTGATAAGTATTCCCAGGCTAGCTTTTAACTGGCTGTGTAGCCCAAGTTAGCCTCAAACTTATGATCGCCCTGTCGGGAACACAGGTCTGCTAAGGGTCACATTATGCTAAAGTTAGTTTTGTGGAGCTTTATGGCCTCCCAGTAAGGGGACAATATCCTCAGAACTGGAGCTGGGTCCCCCGAGAGCCTAAATATTGCACTGCGATACCCCGGGCTCACATCTGAGCCAGTGCCACGAGGTGACTGGAATCTGAAGAGATTCTACAGAAATCTAACACAAATCTAAATCTGTTCAGTTGCTGAGTGCCAAGGATGAGTGCAGTGTGCTGTGATGAGCGCCTGCAGCCGCCCACTGCAGCACCATTGCATTTATGTACAGACGCAAGTGATGTCTGTATCCATGTGGAAGGATGTGTCTTAGCTCACCAGGTTCAGAGCCAAGTATCGTGACACATGCCTGAAGTCTCAGGACTACTGGAGTGTGGACAGGAAGATGCTGAGTCCGAAGCTACCTGGACTACACAGCTAAAGTCCGGAAAAACAAAGGCTGGCATGTAGCTCAGTGGCAGAGTGTTTCCCTACGATGTACAAGGCAGTGGGTTTCAACCTAGCACCCATCAAAGAAACAGACAGAGGGACATAAACAATTATTTCCCACTAAGACTTTGTCCCTTCCGCCTAACAGCTTTCTCTCTAGGATCTCAGGTAGGCCAAGCAGGCCTCCACCTTGAACTTATTATATAGGCAAGGATGGATGAGCTTGAATTTCTGATCACTCTGGGATGTCAGGCTACTGTGTCTGGTTTTATGATGGTGAACTGTGCACTAGGCAAGCACATTATCAACTGAGCTTTCTGATAAGTTAATTATAAAAACAAGACTGTATCTGGGCCTGTGGTAAAGTAGATACCACTACACCTAAGCAAGTGTATGGGATCAAACACTTGTGTATTTCTCTGTGTATCCTTGGCCATCTGGGACTCCCTCTGTAGACCAGGCTGGACTAGAACTCAGAGATCTTCCTGCCTCTGCTTCTGGAGTACTGGGATTCAAAGAGTGTGGGATTAAAACCACTGCCTGGCTAATAAAATAAATTTTTTAACATATTTAAGAATTTTTTTGTGTGTGACTTTACCTCAAAAACGAAAAGGAAAAAAAAAAAAAAAGAATTTCCATTTGCCTCCACAAGATGCAAGAGTCCTTCCCTTGGTGAACATGGGCCTCATAAAGAAAGGAGAAAAGTTCAGACCACAGAAAAAGCACAGCCTTGTTTTATGTCCTAAACACAAGCATGCCAACAAGAGTTAATGCTTGTTCTCTTTTTCTTTTGGAGGCATGATCTCACTGTGTAGGACCGGCTGCCCTGGACGCCTAAGTGTTGTCTTACAGGGTGTGATACCATGTCTGGCGTAACATCTCTTGTGATAACAACCCTAAAGACGGCCCCGCAAACTCACAGAAAAGACAAAACATGCACTATTTAATATGTTTGTACTTTTCGTGATACAGTCTCACTATGGGGCTCTGGTTGGCCTCAAATTAATTTACACATCTATCGGCCTCTGCCTCCTGAATGCTGGGATTAAGGGCACATGTCACCCCATCAGTTTAAATGAGCCTTCCCCTCCCCCCAGAGACAGGGTGTGGCCTGGATCTCTGAGTGTTGGGATCATAAGGGTATGGTACCATACCTGGCTCTACTACTGACCGAGTGGGTAAGCCTCTTGTTTTCTTAAGAAGTTCTCACTACGTTGCAGAAGCTGACCCTGAACTTGTTCCACTATCAGGCAGGTCCTGAACTTAGTGATCACCATGCCTCAGTCTCCCAGTACTGTGACAGCAGGCTGTGATCCAGACAATCTCTAGGAAAAACCACACACTCACTGCAGTGGCTCTCGAGAGCTCCCGACACGTGCTCAGCAGCCCGTTCTGCAGGTCATCCCTCTGAAGCACCACAGTTTGAATGGCAGCTGGGTTATCTGCATTCATCTCGATCTCTTGGCTGGCTGACAGCAAGGCTTGCTCCAGCGTGTACTGTTGTAACAAAGAGGACTACACTTAATGTTCTGCATCAGTGAGTTAATCCACGAAACTCTGGCTACCAGTGTCCTCATATCAGCACAGGCAGCAACATCAACTGCAGATAGTAAAGGGAATCGCCCTACTTTCTCCTTGTGGAGCTGCTGCAGCTTCTCCTCCAGAGCACGGACCACTTTATCCTGTTCACACAATCTGCTTAATTTGGCCTAGAAGAGAAGATGTCTTTGTTAGCAATTTAAAGTCTTTCCTGTAATAAGGGGAAGGGAGCCATTTCAAACAGTCAGAGACTACCTAATTAATAAAAAAATTAATTTTTTTATTGAAAAAACTTTATACAATACATTCTGGTCACATTTTCCCTCTTTAGCACACTTTTATTTTAATCAGAACAATGGAAAGTAAGAGATTTTGGGCAGGGAGTGTAGTGCATGACTTTACTCTCTGGAGGCAGAGGCAGGCAGATCTTTCCAAGTTAGCGCCCTGTCAGGTCTACATAGGGAGACCTTGCTTCAAAAGGGGGGTGGGGAGAAAGTAAGAGTCATCAAATGCTCTGATGTCTTTCCTCTTCTTTTGGCTCTGGGCACGGAGCCCAGAGTCTCAGAAATGCTAAGCATATGCTCTACCTCCAAACTACAGCCCTAGTGGAAACCATTAATTTATTTGTCGATCTGCATGTTTAGTTGAGACAAAGTAGTCTTTTGCAGTCTAGGCTGGCCTGGAACATCCTCAAGTCCTCCTGCCTTAGCTGGGATTGCAGGAGTGTACCAACATGGTTCCTGGCTCTACCTTTACAATTTCCTAAGAATAGTTGGGCGTAATGGTGTACGCCTTTCGTTTTAGTGCTTGAGAGCCAGAGGCAGGGGGAATCTCTCTGAGTTCAAAGCCAGCCTAGTCTACAAAGTGAGCTCTGGGGCCCAGAAATACTTACATCAATATCTACTTCTTCAGGTCTGTATTTGTATAATGTGCCTCTACATTCATCTTGTGAAAGCTATAAGAAAAAGATGCCATAAAGCAATTTTAAAAATCCTATTTAAGTAATGTAGACAATCTATAGTGAATACTTTAAATTTCTGCCAAAATGACGGTATGGCAAGCTGGGATTTTAATTATTTTTACACTTCTAGAAATTTAATTCAAGCACAAACCGTCACGAAAGTAAAGAAACATTTAGCAGTGATACGATATGCCAGATACATAAGAATGATGCCAAAGCAAACTTGTCAGACAACAAACTGGCCAAACAAAATTAATATAGCACCTTCCGTTTTCCACTGTAAAGACAAACAGTATTTTTGATGGAAAACGGACAAACACAACCATAGCAGCTGCACTGAGTCAAATGTCTGCATCAGCATGTCCAGGGAAAGCGTCTGTTACGGTGCAGCTGTGTGTGCACTCAAACCAACATCTTAGCACAACCGTATCAACAAGACCTATAGCACACTGTGTACATATATGTAATATAAACACACATACACAATAGAGACTTATCTTGTTCTTCTGTCTTAAGAACTAAAAGATAATGAGGAAAAGGGCGGATTTAATTGCAAAGAGGAAATAATTTGAAACCTCATAAACCTGAAAGCCTATGCTATAAGTTATGAATAAACAAACTATAAAAGAAGTTTATACTTGTTGGCTGATTTATATATTGTAAACGCTTAGTATTTTTGTAGTGTTGGGAACTGAACCCAATGCCTCATGCATAACTGTCAAGCACTCTGCAATGGAACACATAAGACTTCCAGCCTTGTAAGGAATTAGTTTTCCGTGTATTGAAACATCTTTTAATGTTCTTCTAATCGTCTTTCAGGCACATGAACCCTCATTTCTGACTGTGCTTACCAAGAGTTCCACAGCCATCTCAGTCAGTCATACCCAGAGCACACCACAGCCTCTGCAGGCACCATTTCACTCTCTCTCTTGTCTTTTGATTTTATATTGATTGCTAGACAGCAACAAAAACATATTAGGCAAAATTGAGCTGGACCTTATTGTATGTTTACTAAACGGCACATTTTCCCTTACTGTTGCTTCAGGAACCCTACTCCCCCAATATAGTCTAGTTTGGGGAGCTGAATTCTATATATATACATGTACAAATCCATTATGTTTGATTATATGATCCCTCTGTTAAGATACGCTTGACTGTTATAGCTTTAAAACAGTGGAGAATGCTAAATGGATCTAGAAATGTGGAGATTAGAAGGTTAAAAATTCAAGCATTGCAAACATACAAATAAATCCCAAATTACATTATTCATCTTATGACTTTACATACCTCATGCAAATGGATCGTGATTATTTAAGGTATGCAGAATGATCATTAAACCACAGGGTTGTATAGAAATAAATATTACATGAAAAATGAATTTGATGGTAAAAGAATATATCTACTATTGTACGTAAGGATCAGCCAACAGCACCTGCACGAATGGCAAATGCTATTCTAGACTAAAGCACCTGAATCCAAAGCAGCTTACACTCTCTCCTGGAAAGGGACAGAGCGAGCTTTAAAATGCTTCTTTCCATGACACCAACTGGAAAAGGCCCAAATCATAGTTTCTACACTTAGAAGAAATTAAAGACAAAAGGCCTTATGCTATTGAGATGCTCTAGTACATTTCGCTTCATATTTAAAGTTAAATGCAAAGCAGCTTTACCAGTCCATGACATGGGGATGTGGCTGGAGGAGTGCAGTACTGAGCTCACGAACAGGAGCCTGGCTCTGCCTCCCACGAGCTGGGGTCACAAATGAATGGCACCAAACAGCAATGGTACTGTGCTTTCCTAAATCACGAAGAGACCCCTACCCCCGGATCCAAACCATGCTCCTCCGAAAGCCTTTTTGGGTGTGTGTTTATGTGGGTGGGTATACCCTGCCTCAGTGCACATGTGGAGATAAGATGGACGGCTTTCTTCCCTCCACCTCGCGGGACCCAGGGGTCCAACTCAGGCTGGGAGGTTTGGTGGCAAGAGCCTTCACTTCAAGGGCTACAGCCAAGGCTTCCTGTCAGTTCTTGGTTTCATTTTCTTCTCCCCCTCTTTTCTGTTGTGCTAGGGATGGAACCCAGAACCTGGCAGTGCTGGCAAGTGCTCTTTTCACTCAGCTTTAGTCTTCCAATGTTGTGTTGTTGTTTTTTTAATCTTTCACTAAAACCGGCTTGGTATTAAGTAAAAATAACATTGTTAGTTAAAATTCAATTCACAGTGCTGGGCATGGTAAGGAAGGTGTTTAATCCCAGCACTCAGGAGGCAGAGGGAGGTAGATCTTTGAAGCCAGCCTGGTCTATAGTAAGTGCCAGGCAAGCTAGAGCTACATGGTGAGACTGTCCAAAAAACACCCCCACCAAACAATACCTAAAATTAAAACTAAAATGAGTATATAACAACAAAACCAAACAAAACTCAGCCTTTAAAATCCCTTGTGTGTGTGCATGTGTGAATATAAACATATATGAGTGCAGGTGCTGGAAAGGGGTGTTCAATCCCAACTTGTGAGCTCTGGCAACCAAACCCAGGTCAGGTCCTCTTCAAGGGCAGTATGCATTCTTAGCCACTGCGCCATCTCTCCGGCCCCAATCTTCTACCTTACCTTCCCAAGTGCTTGGGATTATAGGTGTGAAACATCATGCCTGGCTTTGGAAATAAACTTTAAAAAAATTATTATTTATTACAATTTATTCACTTTATATCCCAGCTGTGGCCCCTCCCTTGTCTCCTCCCAATCCTACACTCCCTCCCTCTTCTCCCCCTATGATCCTTCCCTAGTCTACTGATATGGGAGGTCCTCATCTCCTTCTATCTAACCCTAGCCTATCAGGTCTCATCAGGACTGGTTGCACTGTTTTCCTAGTAAGGCGGCTCCCCCCTCAGGGGGAGGTTATCAGAGAGTCAGCCACTCAGTTCATGTCGGAGACAGTCCCTATTTCCCTTACTAGGGCACCCACTTGGAGATTAGTCTATCGGCTACATCTGAGCAGGGGTTTTAGGTCCTCTCCATGCATGGTCCATGGCTAGGGTATTAGTCTCTGCAGGGACCCCAGGGCCCTTTTTTTTTTTTTTTTTTTTTTAGTTGCTCTATTGGTCTCCTTTTGGAGCTCCTGTCCCCTCCAGGTCTTTTAAACTCTTAAGTTTGACAATATATTATCCAACATGCTGGAGATTTAAGTTGGTACAGTGCTTACCTACCCTTCCTGAAGTCATCAGTACAATCCCTAGGACCAAATGGGCAGAGCCATATATGCCTGTAATCCCAGCACCGGTGGGGAAGAGGCAGGGGCCCACACGTTCAAGGTAACCTTTACTGAATTCCTGGGCAGCCTGAGGTACATGAGACCTTATCTCAAAAACAAAAGTAGAATTACCAGCCATACATGGACCAAACCTTTAATCCCAACAACATTGAGGAGGCAGAGGGACAGGGATACCCGAGTTCAAGGGCAGCCTGGCTACATAATGAATTTCAAGCCGGCATTACATAGTAAGACCCTATCTTAAAATAAAAAGACAAACAAACAATGAAGAAAAAAAAAAAACCCTACCACATAAAACTACCAACCAAGAAACCACCCAAGCAAATAATGCTCATAGGACAACAGGTATTTGCTGGCATGTGTCTTTCAGAAATGTTCATTAGGTGAGAAACTTCACTAACAGTCACCCTTCTCTAAAGCCTCCAGTAAAAGTGTAGACGAACTTTTAGAGGGACGAACAAATTCAGGAGATTTCAAAAGATCTGATGCAGGGCCTGGAAAGGTGGCTCATCAAGGGTACTGGCTACTCTTCCAGAGGACTTGGGTTTGACTCCATCTGACCCAGGGGCTCTGAAGACCTCTTCTGGCCTCAAGGACTAGGCACACACATGGTGCAAACCAACCATCCACACTCATTAAATAACAAAATAAGATAAACCTTGATACTTGTTTACTCTTAAACTTTAGATCCTTTTCGTTTGGTCAATTTGGAGAAAACCAGATATCTAGGTGAGTTTTCAGGAGGGTACCTTGGACAATATGCAAATTCAAGCAGTAGCAGCCAGGTGTGGTGGCCCATGAGTACAGCACAATCCCAGCACTTAGGAGGAAGCAGGGCTGGAAGATGGCTCAGTGGGCAAAGCACGTGCCTCTGGCCTGCGGACCTGAGCTGGGAGCTAGAGATGACAGAGTAGAGAGGATGGAGAGAACGGGACCTAACAAGCTGTCCTCTAACTTTCACATGTGCACCATGGAGGATTATACACACATGGACACATACATGAAAAGGTAAGGTGCCACTTACGTTCTCTTAAAGTAAAGCTGTTTAACTTTAAATATTTAGTATTTTGGTTATCTCTAGAAAATTAAAAATGTTTCAGTCATTAGACATACTTTAAACATTTTGAAAACTGGTCCTGCTACCTGACTTCAAGCACACTCCAAAGATGGAGGCGCCTAGGCCTTTGTGGCTGGTGCAAGCTCACAGGTGTCCTTTTATTAGGTGCTTCTCACATTTGAAATAGGATCTACATTCATTTTTCATGTGGGTTAACTCTTCCATCTTCATTATGTTTTAACAATCAATATTTTAATAGGCTGTTCAGCCCAGAGAACTGTAGGGTGCCGAAGGGGAAGAAGCTGATGCTGTTGAACACAGAGCCAAGGACATTTGGACCATGGATAAATAATAACTGGAAACAATGGAGAGAAACATGTGACTTCTTTTGCAGATCTGCAGGTTACCAAGGTTCCTAAATCAAAGCCTGCTAACTCCCCGACATGTTGTGAATGAGCAAAAGGAATAGGGTAAGGAGATTACCCTTGTGATAATAAAGGAGAACCAACAGCCCTACTGTGTTACAACTTGGCTAGGTTCTACTTCATTGATACAGAAACCTCATAATCACCTCCCACATAAACAGAAGGTACTAATGCTGGAGTAGGAGAGGTTTGGAGGGGGTGCACATAAAAGGAAACAGCTCTACAAATCCTTCTCCCTGAAATCCATTTGTAATGCCTTCAGAATTAATACACGGACACTGAATAGCTCCTGCTAAGTGTACTGCAGACCTCCAAGTATCTATCAACCACATGATGTACACAAAAGCTTTAGGAAGATGGCACACAGTATTCAAGGGCGAGTGTTCAGCAAAGCCATGCTAAGGGTACCACAGCATCTTGGGCAGCGTGGATGAAGTGTGGTTTCCCAAACAAACAGAAACAAAAGGTAGAAACACTGATGTTATGAGGCAAATCTGAGGATAGACAAGGCTGTCACTGAGGGGTTTGCAGATGACAATGCAGTGTCATTCAGTGTCCAAGACCTTACTTGTTGGTACAGTTGTGGTCTTAGCGCCGAGTTCTCAATCATTGTGTGAACCATGGTGATAATAGGTTCATTTTCTTTCATCTATTTCAAATCAGGAGGAGCATACAGCAAACATCAGTTTACAGCACAGGTAGATTTGAAAGACGACACTGTAAATATATCCTCTACTTTAGTATCTTCCTAACAGTGCAGGTGCGCACATTTCACCCCATGGTGGCACACACTTAAGATCTATAAATATAAAAAGCTACAAACACACCAAAGGTTATAAAATAAACCTGACTTGCAATGCTACAGTCGTATTTCACTTTAATCAATATATCCAATCAACTTTTACATATATTAGCTGATAAAACATTAATATACAGAGAATTTAAACTTTCTAGAGAAGGACAACCTATGAATTCAGAAGGAGAAAAATAATTGTTTAATTTTATTCAGTAACAAAACTCAGTTCTTTATAAGGCTAGTCAGAAGAACAAAAATAACTTATTTCTAACAGTTATTAAAATTTTATAATAACATCTTTATCACGTAGATAATATAATTTATTAAAATTAGTATTGATATTTTCATACACTCTTGGGTTTTCTCAAAGTATTATGGCATATGTAGAATCATTCAAGGGCATTTAAAATAAAACTTATTCGTCAAAGACTCAGTAAATTTCCTTAGTTCCTGCTATGGTAGGCTGAAAGCATGACTCACATTTCCAATTATACTCTAATTCATTATTGCTTCTAAAAAAGCAGTTTCATGCAGCAGGCTTTGTAGTTAGCTGGAGCATTCAAAGGACAAGCATTCTGATATGGAGAGAAAAGGCTAGCAAACAGGCCTGCTGTTTATCACTGCAGAAGTGGAATTATTTATGTGCTTCTCATCTTCCACATATTAGAAAAGAAGTATTTCTGTTCTCCCTGGGTTTAAGGTGTGCACTGCCCACTGCATTTGCAAAGCACATGACTATCCTGTAGTAGAGGTCATAAAAACCTCACCGACTGCAGCACTGCAACCAGATTTTACTTCTTCAATGCAGCTGATCAATGACTATCATATTATATTAGGATAGATAATAAAGCATTGCAATGTGCAGGCCAATCTAAAATGTGAATCAAAAGTCTATTTAGAGTAGTAATCCCTTTCCCACATACACTGGAACCACTGGACATGATTCCCAGGCAACTCTTATACAACCTGAGGATCTCTGTGTAGACAGAATAATCCAGTCATGGGGCAGTCTGCTCTAAAAAGCCCCTGGACAGAATGATTCACACCCTCCTTGGGATCCTATTCACTTTTTGCTTTCACTGTCAGATATGAGAGCTATAGATGAGAAGTTCACTAGTGAGAATGTTGGAGACCTAACTAAAACGTGATTAAAATGCAAAAGAGATGTTCTCCACCTCTCCATGTCAGCTTATCCTTTGTTTTAATGTGAGAACCCACCCAGCGCTTATGTATCCTGTACATGTGAAACCAACCAATGTGTACATATGCCAACTGCCTCAGGGCAGGGGCAGCTTGACTCTGGGGTAGCCCTAGAGCAGTGCAGGGTAGAGCCAATCTCCTGTCTAGTTCCTCTGGGTAATTCCCCAGTGAACCAGTACAATTTGCCCAGTTCTTGTTCATTTGTCAAACTTTAATGGGATGAGACCTAGGTAGGTACCTATGGTTGTCATCCCCTGTTCATTTTGTTCTCAACTTGCTCTTAAATCTCCCAAAGTAAACTTTTTGCAAACAAGCCCACATCAAGGAAGTTCATACTACAAGCTCTGCTTTCTGACAGAATATAAAAGAACACAACAACAAGCAGAAAACTGAAGAGACAAACTCATAGTTGAGAGAATGTGAGGAAAGAAACTTTCATGGAAAAAGGTTAAGACAGGTGAAATAGTTGCCAACACAGACCAGAACAATCAGCCACAGTATGATAATCAGGTAGGCACTGGACAGACCAAGTTAAGAGATCAGAGGACTGACAAGTGGGCATTAAGTCTACGCTCAGAGTTCTAATCCACCCTATGTCTAGTTAGTTTTCTTAGAATCCTGCCATTATGAACCCTATTCTACTCAAGAACTTCCTGGGCTTCAACTTCCAAGCTCATGTATATTGGGGATGGGGAAGAGGGAGAAGAGTAGAGAGGGAGAAGGACAGAGAGAGAGATGGCGGGATGGGGTGGGGGAGAATATATGTTTCCTCCAACACTCCATTGTGCAGAAAAGCTTTTTACCTTTACAATAGCTTCAGGAAGCCCCCCAAACTGACCATATTTACCAGACCCATCCCTGTCATCGGAAACAGTAAAAGCCAAGAGTCACTCTCAGAGGGGCCAAGTTGCAAAACAGAGACTCTATGCTGCTTGGATGAAACAGAGACCAGCTGAGCTGCCTGGAAGGGGTCTAGACCAACGGAGGCTTCCGGAAAGGACAGTCTCCAACCTATTGAGCTGCCTGCAGGCTGGGCAGTGTGCTCCAGGTTCTCCGCTTTTGTAAATGGTCACCTATGCTGGGGTGGGCTTTGGTGATCCTTCTGCATCTGGAAGAAACCCCTCACTCACATTCCTCTAAGTAATCACAATAAAACTCACTGATTCACCAAGTTGAACTTTGGTGGTACCTTTAAGGATTACAGTTCTGAGGGGAAAGGTTTCCCCAACAGAAGTGTTGCAGCTCTAAAAAGAAAGGCATCCTGGCAGTAGGGAGCCAAGAAATACCCCAAGGTCATACTGTGCAACAAACCTCACAGCAGGTTGCCTTGATGGTGTAAGAAGCAACAGGGAACTGACTGGGAAGCAGGCTTTACATAAGGTTTCTCACAGGTGTGTGTGTGTGTGTGTGTTTTCTGAACTCTTGAGTTTTTTAAAACCCAGAAGTGAGCTCAGAATTTTTACCCTCTATAGTATCCATACTTTGGCTTGCCATAGGCTCCCTATCTGGGGTTAATGAACGTGTGTTACACATCCCCAGAAGAAATTTTATCACGTAACAGAGGGAGAGGGACAAAGCAGAAAAAGTGAGAGGGAAAAGGGAAGGGAGAGAAAGGAGATAGGAAGGGGAGAAAGAGGGATGAGTAGGACCCCCCCCCCCATACACACACGAGAGGACTCTATTAAACAAAACAACAACAAAGAACAGATTGCAGGAAGATCAAAGTCTGCTTGGCTATGAGACCCATGTCTCAACCAAAAAGGAAGAAAAAGAGAAAAGAGATGGAGAAAAGAACATCAAGAGTAGACATGGGGGCTGGAGAGATGGCTCAGTGGTTAAGTACACTGTATATGCTCTTCCAAAGGACCTGGGTTCAATTCCCAGCACCAATATGGCAGCTCACAACTGTCTGTAATGCTGTTTCCATGGGATCTGACACCTTCACACTAATGCGCATGTAATAAAATTAAATAATTAAAAAAAAAAAAGAGTAGACATGAAGGGATGGGGAGACAGTCCACAGCAAGTTAAAGGCACTTGCTGACAATCCTGACAACCTGAGTTTGTTCCCCATGACCAAGGGAAGAATGGACTCTGACCTCCTCACTAACTCTTCTCTCTTGTGCATTCATACACACATTCACACTATTCACAATAAATGTAATACAAACATTAAAGGGATAAAGATTGATACAAGATTATTTAGTTTTAGCAGCAAGGTATAAGAAGACACCATTAAGACTAGTTTGGTCGGGCAGTGGTGGTGCACCCGTCTAATCTTAGAAGGTGGGAGGCAGAGGCAGGGGAATCTGAGTTCAAGGCCAGCATGGTCTCCAGAGCAAGTTCCAGGACAGCGAGGTCTACACAGAGAAACAAAAAACAAAAACAAACAAACAAACAAACAAACAAAAACCAAACAAAAGCCAAGACAACAAACAAAAGAACTAGGAAGAGAATTTGGGATAAGGGTTAAAAAACATCCTTCAGAGTTGATCTGAGCGAGAAGGGAGGAGGGGGAGACAGAAGTGGAGGGAGGGATGCTGGGATGTAATGTGTGTGAGAACAGTTTTTTTTTTTTAAGAAAATTTTATGTGATACTATGTATGTGATATTCTGATATGTATGTTTTAAATCAGATTAAACGCATTTGTCTTCTCAAAAAAACAAACAAACAAACAAACAAACAAACCTGTTTTCTTAGTTTACTCCACCGAATGCCTACCCTCCATCACACCCCCTCAAATACTGCCTTGTAGCTTTTCCTCATGCATAGAAATAAAAACTCCAGGACCCTTGGCTGTTAGAACGAAGTATGCTTGGAAGCTCAACAGAAAGAATCTGCTGAGTTGCCGTGGGAAAGGAAGGCAGCAGAAGCCCTTTCAGCCATCACCTCAGGGAAGGACTGCTTGAACATCCTCCTGGGATTTCAACCTCAACAACTGCCATACCCTAGCAGCACTTGAGTACACTCAGCCAGGGCAGAGCTTTTGTTCCCCTTGGCAGCCCCCTTGGTTTACTTGTCCAAAGTGGCCAGGCTTCTTATCTGCAGGAACTTTCCCATTGTGGTTTCTTGAGAGGACAAAGGAAGCATGCTGATGAGGAAGGTTCACAGCATCCAACCATGGCACTGTAGACTTCAAAGTCCCCTGCACTTGTAGAACATAGCTCATAAGCAGGTACTATATTATTAAATCTAAATGCTACTATAGAGCATTTCCAAAACAGAAAGTTTAGTTTAGAAGGTAGGGGGCTAAAGAAACAGCTCAGCAGCTGGAGAGAAGGCTCAGTGGTTAAGATCACTGGCTGCTCTTCCAGAGGTCCTGAGTTCAATTCCCAGCAACCACATGGTGGCTCACAACCATCTATACTGAGATCTGATGCCCTCTTCTGGTATGCAGAGGTACATGGAGACAGAGCACTCATATACATAAAATAAATAAATCTTAAAAAAAAAAAAAAAGACTTTAAAAATCATTAAAAAAAAAAAAAAGGAATAGGTCAGTGATTAAGAGCATTACTTCCCAACACCCCTGTGGTAGCTCACAATGGTCTATAATTTCAATTCTAGGGGATCCGATGCCCTCTTTTGACCTCTTGGGGCACCAGTCACAAATGTGGTGTACCTACATACATGCAGGTGAAACACACACATAAACATCTAAAAGTGATTTTCCTACCTCCTCCTAAAGTGTTTAAGCACTGCCTTCAGAGTGAGTTCCAGGACAGTAAAAGGCTACACAGAGAGAGCCTGTTTTGAAAAACAAAACAAAACAAAACAAACAAAAAAGAAAATGCCGTGCTGAAACAGGAGAGGCTTCATTTAGTCCCTGACTCCAGCACTGCCTGGCGCTCTCCTGTACTCCTCTGTCTTCCTGAGCAGCCACTCATAGCATGCTACCCTGTTATTACTGCCTACCTAAATGTTGGCAGGAGGAGTTCAGAGAAATAAGGAGAAACACCTAAATCGCCATCTCTTCATCGGTCTCATTCATGTCAGAAAGGAAAAAGTCTGTAGTCCAGGCCTACAACTCATATATGTATCTCCCACAATCCTGTCACCTCAGTCTTCAGAGTGCTGGGATTAAAGGCATGACCACCACAGCCAGTGCTGATGTGGTTTTTAATCACTTCTATAACCACTTGTCCTTAGAAGAGAACTTGTGCTCTAGTGCTCATGCTACTGGGACCAGAGTCAAAATCTGCTGACCGAGTGTTTAACGTGCCAGTTAATTGTCCTGCTTCCTGACAAGGTAGCTGCTTTCCTCATTTGCTGTACAATGTCAGTGGCAGCAGAAATGAATTCACCTCTCACACAGCTCAGAGAGTATCTTCGCTTTCTACTTTTCATGAATGTTAGAAATTAGTAGGATTTAAATGAATTCAAGTTTTCCTTGGGTGACTATGGCACCTATAGAAGGCCAGAGGAAGGCTGCACTGATTGCTTCTATTTAAGTGAGTGGGTGGGAGGAGCTGAAAGGGAGAATCAGCCAACACACAATTTCTTTGAGGTGTATACTTTGAAATTTGCCCAGAGCACTTTCCTTTGAACTGCTGTCTAATTTGTGGTTCTATAAAACAGATGAATCAACCTGTAAATCCTGGATACTCAATAATGCCTGAAATAACAACAGACCTGGTCAGCTCAAAAAGGTTGCTGGCAGGAACAAGACAGACAGCTGGAAGGGCTTGAGCCCAATGAGAAATTCTACTAAACTAAAATTATCATAATTATTTTTAGGGCTATAGTTAGATACAATGTATAGTATGGTTCAAAAATTTTCAATACATTGCTACAAACAACTTTTAAATGTATTTAAGGAGAGATTTTCTTAAGGTGACCTTTTATGAGTATATGTGTACCTAAGTCAAGGGTCAATTATTTTGTTTCTAGGAGCATCATAGTTTATAGTTGTTGTTTTTTTTTTTTTCTGTTTGTTTGTTTTTTCCCCTTTTTGAGACCCACTGGGACCTGAGGCTTGCTGGTTTTGCGAGGCTGGCTGTCCAGACTGCTGCAGGGATTGCCAGCTCCTGCCATAACAGAGGTGGCGCCACAAGTGTGTGTCACTATGCTGGGCTCTGGGGAAGGGCTGCATCCTTTTATAACAAGCACTTTACCACCTGAGCGGTCAGCCCAGCTCCAAGGTAATCCAGGTTATGCACACTTAGATATGGATACGTTTTTGTTCAAGGTTTCACATTCTAATTGTTATCTAAAATGGCCAAATGTTCACTATCAGTAGTAGTTCTATTTAAATGCAAAGTATCACTCAAAAGATCCATTTCTATAATTATTCCCATTATCATAAAATTTAAAAATGGAAAGAATGTAACTGTTTCAGAATCTGAAAAAAGGCAAATTACTTGAAAGCCCTGCAGACAGACTGTGAGTACCGTATTTCACTGTATTAGAGCTCTCTAAGTTTTAGAAGCGCCCAGTGACGGCACACGCATGCCTGAGATGGGACCTGTGCTGCTCTGGAAAACCGATAAAGGACTGAAATGCATCTCAGGAACAGTGGTGGCTGCAACACATTATCTGTCTGGCAGTCCCCTGGGTTCATCCCTGGAACTGCACTTTACTGAGATTACCAATCAAGTACAGCAAAACATTAGGCTGATTCCGAAGATTCATGCTTACACTATTTTTTTTTTTTAAAGCTAAATTTTTGTATTTTCCCACAGGTTTTCCGAATGCTATGGTTTGCTTGGTAGCCATATTTATTAGTCAGGTAAGTTTTTCTCTTGAGACAGGGTCTTGCTATGTAGCTCAGGTCAGCCGTGAAGTTGTGATCTTCCTGTCTCTGGACTGCGGGGAGCATGAGCGTGTGTGACCACACCAGGTTCTCATTTACGATGCAAAAGGAACTTAAAGACACTTTATTTCTCATAGACTCCAGAAGCTTTTTGGAATGTGAGCTGAGAATCTTTATTTTACTGCTTCCAAAGTATATTTTAGAGACATGACTGAGCTTTATCAGCCCAGTCTCTGTGATGGAGAGCTGGACCTGGATAACAAAATGCTAATTTCTGAAGCATTTCAATAGGCAAAATCATGACAAAAACTAATGAGAAGTACATAAATTAGATACTAAGAAAAGTGTGCTTCTTTAAAATTAAAATGATCAACCACATCTGCAAAGGGTTATCCTGGGCTACAATCTCTCTTTAAATAGAAGTAATTTATATAGCTGCATTTACCATTTTCTCTCAAAGATGTAAGCATCTGTCTTATAACATTTCCCATAGAAACTTTATTTGACAAAACATTCAGATCTATACATTTTAAGACAAGTCAAAATAAGGCTTAGCTTGGTCTGTATTAAAGAATTAATTTGTCAGCAGAAAACGTGTCTGATAGGATACCAAGGCCCACTAAATATTAATAGTGTCTACAACCCTAAAACCTGGGACAATTCTTATCCACCGACACTTTTCACTTTTCAAGGTGTGTTTAACTCAGGTGTTCCCCAGGATAACAGGCACGAGCCGCCATGCCTTTCACTTTTTACCTTTTCATTCCCGTGGCCACCCACTGCTGAGGCATTGGGAAGACTCACAGGTCACTGTGAAGTAGTCCCTGCAAACTTGGCAAAGACCAAACCCCGGGAGGAGACAACACCCAGGCAACTAAAAGTGGCCTCTGACACACTCCATCCACCCCAAAGCTCTCCTTAGGGAACCCATACCATATGGCTCTCCTCCCCAGCAGCCAACAGGCCATCCATAGTGTTCTTTCCTTCACTGCTCCCTCCCAAGCTCGGACAAGCTTCAATACGTAAGAGTGTTCATGAGAAACACAGTAGGTATAAGTGACTCAGTGTTTACATCCCTCGTTTACCCTCACAGCTGCCTTTTGGTCAGGGTTCGTTACTGTCACTTGTACAAATCATGTTATTAATTAAAGTGAATAAAATACCTAAGCAGCCATAAAAATTGTACTATAATTGTTAAATTCTAACTGGTGTCATAATAAAAAAATTCTACAAACCCCACCTGATGATCCAAATATATGGTGTTCCTTTGAAGATGATGTGAAAGAATTTCATTCTAGTAGCCATCAATCAAGGAAAAAGGGACAGAGAGCAGGTTGTCAAAAGGTCAATTGGTAGGAAAACAGTTACCACAGCGTTGTATCACAGCACACAACTTTCACAGACATGCTCTGCCCGTGCACAGATGACATATTCAACTACGTAAAATCGTAGTCACCCAGTTATTTAGTGGGAAACACTTGCAATGGCTCTAGCAGATAGAAGCTTCACATGCCAGTCTTTTTCTGTGCGACAGCCCTCCCTTCCCATAGAAACAGAGGCTATTAACCCTTTGAGAGATTTCAGGCTGGCCCCCAACTTCCTGGTCCTCTTCTACCACATCCTGATGTTGGGATTACAGGAATGCAGCCGAGAAATATTTTTGTGTTCATTTTTTCCGGTAAGAGCAAAAGGCTTATAATGAATTTTCAACTTACTGTTTTATTTGAAAACCTAAGCTTTTGGTACCCATTTTATCAGCTGTGGGAGTCCAAGTCTTTATTTACTAAGCAGCAGCACCATCGAGACTCAGTGTACCCGCTCCTCCCAATCAGCTGAGGGGAAGGCTGAGAAGACACGCACCCTGACTGTATTTTCCTAATTCTACATCCACATAAGTAAGCTGAATTCTCAAAGGGTCAATAGGAGACTGTACTGTTCCTGTGATGATGGTCCAGGCTCATGCTCAACACCACGGACACGGACTGCACAGATGACAGATGGTCACACACAGACGCGTCTCCATAGCTGACCTTTGGGCTGTGGGCCTCAAGCTTCAGCTGCATGAGCTGTGCTAAGGTATGCTCCCGGATACTACTCAGCTCGGCTTGCTGCCGTCTCAGCTTTATTAGCAGCAGCGTAAGCTCCTCTGGCTGAAGGAGTACAATTTAAGAATCCAAACAGTGGAAAACAGATTAATTGTCTTAAGTGACAGATATTAAACCAAGATTTCTTGGCAAGTTTCCTCTTACGGTTGGCATCATAGTGCCTAGGCACTATGATGATAGGTCCTACATAAATGCATAGATATCTAGAGAGACAGAAGGAATAGTGTTACTTGACAGCAAAACAACAGGGCATTCAGGCATTTTCTCAGAAATTATGAGAGTATATCAATGTCAAGTATAATAAACACAAAACCACCATAAAGCTTAGCACAGAGAACTGTTAAAGCTGCTCATTAAAGATGTATCAGGATGGAAACACTATAATACCTAAGGCTCTTCTGGAAACAGAACAACACTGTTCCATCCAACACCATTTCAAAGAACAAGTAAATAGAATGACATTTCAGAAATGTAAAACTTGGGTGTTATTTGGTGTGTGAGGCCAGTCAAATTTTGTAATGCCGCCAAGAGAGCTTCTATAGCCTTTTCCGATTCAAATGTCCACTCTTTTTTTTTTTTTTTTTTGTAGCGAAAAGAGGAAAACAAACATTGTTATGTGTATGCCTGCACCCCTCACTCCTGCGCACACTCTCTGGAACAGCGGAGACCCTGCCCCCATGGTCGCTAGGAATCCTGATGAGAAAAGCTTTCAACAGTGGTGAACTTCTCAACATGTGCAGACTCAGGTGTGGCCTGCAGCAGCAGTCACACAGGTGTTTCTCTGAGCTTTGTTTAAAACTATAAGGGGTGGGGAAAGGGACTCAGCCCCTAAGAGTCCCAGGCCCAGGTACTGCTGAGTTCACCTGGTCTATACCAGTTTTAGGCCGGCTTTCTTCTGATCATTTGTGGTGGCTCCCTATTTTCAAGAGCAGAAAGTTTTTTTTTTAAACACCCATAGTAGTTTCATTGCTGCCTTCAGACAGGCCCAGCATCACAGAAGTAAGCTGCACCTCCTATGGGCAATCAGATGAAGGTGGGCATATAAAGAGAAGGCAACGGCCTGTTATAGTCAGCAGGCAACAGTGCTCAGTGCATGGGACTTCAAACCAAGTTAAGTGAAAAAACAAAACCAACCAACAGAAACCCAGAAAGCCCAGCTGCCTTTGCTCGGAAGCCACTTTGTGACTCCATGACTTTTGGCAGGCTTTATCTTTTGATCATCATGTCCAGCTCATGAGGTCTTGCCAAGGAGATGTGGGCAAAAAAGGAGTCCGCCATACTCTCTTCTTTCTTTTTGGCACAGTAGGATATTCTAAACCTCAGGCTGATTTCTGACAGAAAATCCAAAATAAACTAGTTCATGTATAGATTAAAATGATGAATTTGTCATAAAGACAGAAGACCAAGTTATCTGTATATTCACGTCTAAAGGACAAATAAAAAGGCATTACTGGCTGGAAAAAGGTAGGGGTAATGGTGAATAAGTTTGATCCTTAACATCCACTAGAGGGAGCAAAATGGAAGGAAGAACTGCAGATAACAGCAGTTACTGCTGATGCTTATGTCACATGACAACCTAGGACTTAATAGTTCTTTCTCTTTTATTTTTTTAAACAATCTAGGATTTAACAGTTTTTGGTTTTCAATAAAATGTATTCACAATATTTAATAAACTGTGATTATTTAAAATTAGGAACTATTTCCTTATATCTAAATGTGTAAGATAAAAATCAGTTAAGTTTGCTTTGATTAATGTGTAAGAAAATTTTAAATAAAAATGAACAATCCTACAGGTCTATGTCCTGACAACAGTCAGGTCAGAGAGAGGACTTCTGCAGTGTTGTGGCACCTGCAATCTCAGTACTCCAGAGGCTGCCCAGGAAAATTCTTAGAGCAAGACTTGACTAAAATCAAAATCAAATCAAATCAAAACAGTAACAACAAAACAAAACAAATCCCCCCAAACCAACCAACCAACCAGCCAACCAACCAACTAAAAAACCAAGGCAAAGTAAAGGAAAAGTTCCCTCTTTGATTGGAAAAACTGATGTTAAAAGCCTTCTAAACTGAAGAACTATGAACAAAATAAAAATAATAAATACTTGTTGTGCGTCCTCCCCCTCCCCTGCTGTACAGCAGGCTGGCCTCCGACACCCAGTCTTCTTGCCTTTGCCTCTGGAACGCTAGGACCAAAGGCATGAGTCTCCACGGCCAACTCGGACTATTGTACAGTCTTTGTATAAATACATAAATCAATGTATTTTTGGCCCTAAAGTAGGTAATTTCTATTAAATTCCACAGAGAAGTCAAGTATGGCGGTATGTTCATGTAATCTCAAAACTGAGGATGCCAAGCAGAAGGCAGATTGAGTCCCAGGCCGGCCTGTGCTACATATCAAGACCTGCACTCACAGTAAGACAAAAGCCATAGGGAACTACTCAGAAGGTCTCTCCTGTGGCCACAGATGCTCACTGGACTTCACTCCCATGTCTGTGCTGGGGATGTGTGTAGGGCAGTGGCTTTCAGCCTTCCTAATGCTGTGACTCTTTAATACCTCATGTTGTGGTGATAACTGTAATTTTGTGACTGCTATGAATCAATATAAACATCTGATATTATTCAGGCTATCTTATATGTGATCACCTCCCAAGGGGGCCATGGCCCACAGGTTGAGAACTACTGGTGTAGGAGATGCTGAGCTTGAATCCAGTTCTGCATATCTTACGCAAGTACTCACTACTGAGCTACTTGAGTTTTTAAGACAACAAAAACAAAACTATGTAGTCATGTGTGCCATGTGGTCTCGGATGCTATGCAGCCATCGCTGGCCTGACTCGTAGCCATCCCTCTGTGTATTATCGTGACTGGCTAATATTTTGAAGACAAGGGGGATAACAAATCAAAAGCCCAGAGTTAAATAGTAAACTTTAAATTTGCTACTTTATTTGGACATTTTGGGGAAGGCAGCCACAAAGACATCAACATGGCTAAATGAGCCTACGTTCTTCTGATGTTGAAACTTTGTCACAAAGTAGTGTTGTTCTCTTCTGTAGATGATGTCTGAAAATTCACACTTAAAACTATGTCGGCTTCATGCCTTTCTGGGCAGCAAATAAAGCAAGCATATGATAAGTAAACTTATCACACTCACCGTTCTGCCTTGGAGGCTCTGATGGCTAACAGCCGGTAATGTTAAGCCAGCTGGCATTGACCTTCTGTCAGGTACATAGACATGCTAGGAAATAAAAAAAAGAATAGAATTCAGTGGTGAACTTCTTTGTGTGTGTGTGTGTGTGTGGTGGTTAAATGTTATTGATGAATAATCTTAAATTTACATTATAAAATACCAATTAAAATTGTCATTAGTGTTTATGAGAGAAATACTTTTTTTTTTTTTTTTTTACAAGACTAAAATACAAATGCTAATGAATCAAGTAACTCTATGATGACCAGCTCAAACTCTTGGTTCTCAGAACCTGTGTGTGTGTGTGCGCGTGTGTATGGTGTACACGTGGAGGTCAGAGGGCAACTCTGTGGCAGCTCTGTCCTTCCACCTTTGGCTTCTGGACACTGACCTCAGGTTGCCAGGCTTACACAGCAAACATCTTTACCTACAGAATCATCTCGCTGGCCTGCTTCTTATATTCCTTAGTGAAAACTTACTGACAGGAGCGGCACAGCTGAACAGTTTCACAGATTTAGTGTTTGTGTGGCTTTTCATGCCTGACAAGTCTTTAGTGGCAGGATGCTACAAATCTACCTAGGGCCCCTTTAAGTTGGTAAGGGTGGGAACACTGAGAAGCTCTTCTGAGTGGGTGCAGATACCATCTTTGATCTGTAGCTAGGCTAAAAAAAGAGTGGCATTTTCTTAAAGCTTCCTGGTGAACTGGTGTCTGAATGCACCTCAGTGAACTGGACATGTCCCCTAGCCACACTACATCCCTTAGCCGATCATACTTTAACCCTTTGGCTGTGCATGATCTCATAATAAAGAGTTATCTGCACAGTACTGGCTCAGCAAGTTATGCAATGTTCTGCATGTTGTTACATTTCAGTATAAAATACCACAAGATCATGTTAGTATCACCATCAGTCTTTCAGTCCTGAAAAGCCATCCAACTCAGTCTGCTAACAAATGGTTTCCAAAATTCCAGTTTTTGCCTGAAAATTCAGATACCATCAGTGGTGGTGACAAATCTGTGATAATTTTTTTTTCCCCCTTTGAAGTGAAAGGTTCCATGTTACTTTGGGAGAGGCCTGTCAAATAACAAGTCTGTATAATGATCCTTGTCTGTAAGCCCCAAATTAACCCTTCTTTCAATAAGATGCCTTTGGGTCACTGTTTTATCACAGCAATAGAAAAATTGCCCAAACATGGCCCAAACCTATAATCTAAGTTAAAAAGGTGAGGCGGGACCCACCCCCTGGACCCTGAAGGCCCAGACAACTTACAGAGGTCCTGCCTTAAGGTAAAAGTACCAGAAAAAAAATGCAAACACTTTCCTGCATATAAGAGGCTTGGGCCAGGAACAAGCAAACAAGCAGTACCACTCTTGTGATCTTGAAGGACTGAAAGCTTAGGTTCTGTCATGGGAGTCTGACAATGTTTTAATTTTTAAGATGAAAACAGCCTTGCTAACTTCCCCATTCTCTTGCCTATAACTTAATTTAAAACAGTATATTAGAAAGGAAACACACCATTAAGCAACGAGTTAGCATCTTACCTTAGGGTGATGGGCCCTGTGCCTGCGGTCTATCGTCACATCTCCTCTCTGGATCGGTGAGGACACTTCTGACCTGTATGTCCGTTGAGGAGAGAAGCCCTGGTAGGCAGCTGACCCATGGGAAGGTGATGTGGGGATGGAGTGCATGGTCTGGTCAGAAACGTTCACCATGGCCTTTGGGCTGCTCACGCAGCTGTGCCGAGGAAGGGTGCTCTGCTTGTGGTAAAACTGGCGCTGCTGCCACTCATACAGCTGCCACATGGTGTCATCCCTCATGGACCGCCGCTTCTCCTCTGCTCCAGGCCCTGTCTTCTCATGACCAGAAGGGGTCACGCTGCAGATACTCTCAGGTCTGGTCTTGCTGTTTCTTGGGAGTGTTCGGTAACCTTCAGGGTATCGGGCCATAGCCTGGGCTCGGTGGCTTGGCATATTTCTTGGCAATGTTTGATAAGAAATTACTCTAAAAGTAAAAAAAGTTGTAAAAATTAAAGAGATGTAGTAAAATGGAGAGACAGCTATTCAATTTTAAGCAATACTGTTTTTTAGTTTTTCCTGGCAAGTAAATACATATCAGGGTTTATTTTTTATATTTATTGCTAGCTTTTTTTTTTTTTTTTTTTTTTTTAAGACAAGGTTTCTCTGTATAGCCTTAGCTGTCCTTGAATTCACCCGGTAGACCAGGCTGGCCTTGAACTTAGATATATGCCTGCTTCTGCCTCCCTGAGTCCTGGGATTAAAGGTGTGCTACCACAGCCTGGTCAGGCTTTATTTTTAAAAAGAACATAGTTTAGTGGCATGTGGAGTTGGTTGGCATGTATAAACCTTAGCACATAACAAAAAGAAAGAAGGAAAGGAAATAAAGGAAGACTAGTTGGCCAGAATGTTTATATGAAGTATAAAAAAAGCTAAAGCTTTGTAAATGAAGTTCCACCTGGTAATATAAACAGATCTACAGCAACTATACATGACTATTATTCCATCATGTATATTTGTTTAATGCAGACACATCTGCCCACTTCAGTTGATAGTAAGTAAAATCAGGCCATTAAATCCCAGGGGTCATAGGCAGAGGCAGGTGGATCTCTGAAAGTCTGAAGCCAATCTGGTCTGCAGTAAGACCCTTCCTATCTAAAAACCAACCAACCAACCAACCAACCAACCAACCAACCAACCAACCAACCAACC